CTGCCCCGGTCCCACCGACCGTGGCGCCGCCGGTGCCCCGTCCCCCAGTGGTCCGCCCTCCGGCGCCACCTCCGTTGGGCACGGCGCGGCAGGTGACCTTCCCGGTGACCACCCGGCTCTCGGACCCGGTGCAGGTGACCGGTCGGACGCCGGACTCGGACTCCGGAGCGGTCCCCGCGGACGAGGAGGAGGTGGAGGAGGCGCGGCGACCGGTGCCGCTGGGTGCGCCGCTCGTCTCTCTGGCCGAGTACACCTCGCAGGCCGAGCTGGACGGACCGCTGGAGGGCGGCGGGCTGCGGCTGGAGCGCGACCCGGTGACGGGCCGCGCGCCGGGCCTGCAGCTGTTCCCGGGCACCGAGCCGCCGCAGGTGTACTCCCGACTGGAGGAGCGCCGCCGAGCCGACCACGCCCACACCGTAGTCTACGTCCACTCGGGGGAGGGCCAGGACTGGTCCCCGGCGGGGGAGCAGCCGTGGTCCCCGGCGGGGGAGCAGCGGTGGTCCCCCGCGGGGGAGGAGGAGCAGAGCTGGGCCCCCGCGGAACAGGAACAGAGATGGTCTCAGGCAGATGGTGAGCCGGTCATAGCTCGCTCGCTGACGGCGCGGCAAACCTCAGAGCGCCGGTCAGAGTGGCAATACCGGACGGAGGAGTCGGAGCCTCAGCACACAGAGTACCAGACAGACGAGACACAGCCTCAGCACACAGAGTACCAGACAGACGAGACACAGCCTCAGCACACAGAGTACCAGACAGACGAGACACAGCCTCAGCACACAGAGTACCAGACAGACGAGACACAGCCTCAGCACACAGAGTACCAGACAGACGAGACACAGCCTCAGCACACAGAGTACCAGACAGACGAGACACAGCCTCAGCACACAGAGTACCAGACAGACGAGACACAGCCTCAGCACACAGAGTACCAGACAGACGAGACACAGCCTCAGTACACCGAGTACCGTCCTGAAGAGACGCAGTCTCAGTACACCGAGTACCGTCCTGAAGAGACGCAGCCTCAGTACCGCGATTACCGTCCTGAAGAGACGCAGCCTCAGTACACCGAGTACCGTCCTGAAGAGACGCAGTCTCAGTACGCAGAGTACCAGACGGAGAGGCAGCAGCGCGCGTTGTACCGGGCAGAAGACGGCACGGTGTACGTCTTCTCGTCAGACGACAGCGCGGAAAATCAGAAGGAAAAACAAGAGGAGGATCGAGAGGAGACGGAGCGGGAGAGACCTGCCGAGTACGAGCAGCGGTACCAGGTGGTGCGGCAGCGGGTACCCGCAGAGGACCGACAGGAGTACCAGGTGGTACAGCAGCAGGCGAGCGCAGAGTACCAGCATGAGGTGCAGCAGCCAGCACCCAGCCAGTACCAGGTGGTGCAGCAGCCAGCAACCAGTCAGTACCAGGTGGTGCAGCAGCCAGCAACCAGTCAGTACCGTGCGGTGCAGCAGCCAGTAGCCGGCTAGTACCAGGTGGTGCAGCAGCAAACGCAGCAGCAGCAGACACCTCCCCAGTACCGGCAGTACCTGGTCCGGGACCGGGCGTCCGGCCAGTACCAACTGCAGTACCAGCAGCCGCAGGGACCGGTACCTGCCCAGTACCAGCCGCAGTACCGCACGGTACAGCCGGCGGCCCAGTACCAGCCGGTCCAGTACGTCACAGTACAGGCCAGGTCTATACAAAAGTAAATTAACAATCTGCCGGGGAAACGGCAGCCGTGAGCAGGTGCGAACCGATGCTCGGCATGTGCTGCATTATCCTCTATGAATCGTTCATTGTTTTTATTATGTATGTTACCTAGTGTGCTGTAACACGTGAGGGTTGAGCTGTTATCTGTAATGCAAGTAATGTTAAATTATTTTAGATAATAAAAAGTGTTTGAATGTCTGTCTGGTTTCATGTGAAGCTAGCATCTCATTGCAGTATCTATTTATAGACATCGATGTGTTCGAGCTCGCGGAAATGCTGGCAGCTACTCTGGAAATGCTAGCTGAGGGTGCTGACTGCTGAGGTTAGGTAAATAACTGCACCGTATCAACATCGAACATCAACTTTTAACATTACCTTCCTTTCTGATACATATCCTTAGTATTGGATACCTCGAAATAATTTATTAAAAAAAAACTTAACAGCTATAGGCTATAGCTGGGCTACCGCTTTAGTTGATCGACAGGCGCCGGCGCTTCAGTGTCGACAATTTCGTCACTAGATGGCAGGAGCGGCGGCGCCTGAGTCTATGCTGTACCGCATGACCCGTGGACGGGGAATGCGTCCGCTGCAGCCGCGCCGCGCTAAGGCATAAACGATCAACCGACGTGGTGAAGGAGCTGCTGAAATAAAATGCCTGATAATATATATTTGAGGTCTCAATACAGGGATGCTTACAACAAGCAGGGTATTAGATGGGTGCGAGTAATAAGCAAAGCTGGAGCGGCCGAGCGACCTACGAAGTAACGCGCCAGCCTTGAGGGAAGAGGAGGCGTGCCCCACGACGGATTTCTCGCGATCGCTCGGAACGGATTAGGGATAAGGAGCTGAAAGTTAGCATACCTACTTGACTTCAGATAAAAGGCCAGATCTTGTGACATTAACCACATCAGGTCCGCTCACTGACCTGGCTATGACTTCATAAGCGATCCTCTGCACGGTTCAAAAATGCTGCAACTTGCAACTCGTAAGCTCTCAGTGGGTACCGTGACAAGGAAATATTTCGCAGGGAACTGGAGGTTGTACAAATAATTAAGCTCCAGAACACTCACGATTTAGGTCACCGACTCTGGAACCCGAAAATTCGATACCTACCAGTTGTTGCGTATGCGTACGGCGCACGCTTCCTTCTGTCGCAAAGCTCTAGCTCAATCATGGAGCGAAACGGAACGGCTCGGAGGAATGCACCCCCCCCCCCTCCGCCCCCTCGGGCCTGTATGTACAGCCCACCGCTAAAGTAATGTAGGGTTTTACCAATCTCAACGGTTGGCTTTGACTGGCGATTGTTTAATGCGGAGTGATCGAAAAGAAGATGTAAATAGCTAAAGTTGCAGAGCCAAGGGTGACGATACATATAAGCTACATTCAAAGTTTCATTGTAGTCTGGCTAATCGTTCCTAAGCTTCAGAAGCAGAACATACCCATGACTGAAACCCCACATTACTTCTGCTGTGGACTGTACAAGTCAGCCTATGCAGAAAAACGATATAGGGATTCGCTATCATGAAAAGAAACTGCCATGGGTATCACGAAACGACTAGGGATCGCCCAGCCAGCAAAATTGGCCTATGGGCCGTAACTAGTTGGTTTTACTCTGGTTATGCTTTATTCTGGTTAGGTCCGGCACTTATCTCCGGTCGAAGTACGTACATACGGGCAAGGTCTGAAGCTCTACTGGAGCTGACACGATCCCAGAGCTCGCCCACACCACAGCCAATTATGCCGCATCAGCCGTGCCGTGCCTCAACCATACTTCAGCCGCAGTAAGCCAGAGCAGCTAAGAGACAGCCGCGTAGCAACGCCGCGGTAGGGAGCCGGACTTGACGGTCCGAAACCATGCGAACTCCGGAGCGCTACGGCAAAGACTGGCTAGCCGGAAAAGAGTCTTGTCGACCCAACCAGTGGCGGATCCAGGGGGGAGGCAAAATGGGCATTTGCCCCCCCCCCCAAACGGCATAATTTTAACATAGGTAACGCCTATGGACGATGCATGGAAAGAATCGATAAATTTTATGATTTCCCCCCCCCCCCCCCCAAAAAAAACTCTGAGCTGGATCCGCCTCTGGACCCAACCCCCTTGTTCCGACGGCGTTGGCCGTTTACAGCAGCCTAAATCTGACAGATCTGACATGTCGGATTTCGCGGGGCACTACGGACATGAGCCAAACCATATTGATATTGCTGGCTGGGCAAAATGCTATTTCTTTCATTGGCTAACTTTAGTGTACAGTTAAACACGGGGTGAATTGCGATGAACCTGACAGGTACCTATCATGGTTTCTTTGGACAGACAAATTACCCAGGCAGAAACAAAGCACTAAAAGGTGGTACTCACCAGCGCAGAGCGCGGCCGGCCGCTGACCGCCGTCCTGCGTGCATGGCCTCCCCGGTCCGGTCTTGGTCCGTGGTGCGACTGCGGAGTCACGTGGTACAGTCTGGGCCGCCAAACACCAGCCAGTGGAAGGAGCTCTGCCTATCACAGCCAGCACTGCACTATTCTGCCAACGACCGACCCCGGGACGGACCACGCGCACTGAAACCGAGCGGCTGACGCGGGATGCCAAGTTCAAGGTCACTGCCCCCAGCATGCCGCGACGTGCACCGCGCACTGAACTTGAAACCGGCGCCGCTAAAATGAGTGACGCTTTGAAATAAATACTGTTCCATTATCGATATCACCTCCTTTCTAAAACGCACATTTCACTGACGTCACTCTTTTCATGCACGAAACACAACCGACACACTCACGCCCAAGGCTATAGAACTCCTCACGCCACTCAATTTACCGTAAACAAACCACCTGCGTCGAGCGGTCACGCAGAATACGGCTCATCCGGTGAGTCATCCCCAGAATTAAATGTTGATATCCACCGCAACGATGGTTTAGGTATGTTAAAAATAAGCACATTAATGCAAGGCCCTATATCATTAATGCTTTGACTACATTTAATTTGCATTTTTAACTTGGCGATTTGATTGTCAAAGGCGAACCGGCAAATGAAATTCGTCAGCATGCATTGATAAAGGAGCGTTAAATTATTGTACGTCCAAAGGCCCCAGCAATGGAAGTCAGGCGCGACAAGCGAAAAGTTCCGTGGCAAGAGTGTTACGCGCAGCTCTCGTTTTTTTTTTTCTTTTTGCCGTCAGCTTCCATTACCGACGTGATTTGCCCTGACTGGAGCTAAAGCGATAACGGACAGCTCGGTCCCGGCTCAGCTCGGAAGGTTGACTCTCGACTGATACAATCAGCTTTTTGGTCGGCACCGACTCAGCACACACTGCACAGCGCCGGGTAAATACATCCTCTTGTATTAACGCATGGACATCACAACAGAACAGCAAGCCTATGAGTTTTGGGGGCGCCGCACTTCGCAGACGCCGGAAACACAAACCAGCAGCGAGAGTCGTATCTTTATTTCAGAAAGATTGCCAAGTACTTATACGGACTGAAGTTTAGCCAATCGGAGAATGGGTCAAGGCAACATAACACACACGTGTTTGCGGCGGCCCGGGCGCGCCTGGCGGCCCGTACCACCCGGCCGGCCGCCGCCCCCTCTGTGGACTAGCTGGCGCACATGTACCGTCCGGTGACTCTCGCCCTCTCTCCGCTCTCTGGCCTCCTTCCCCGCGCACATATACTCTTCTGAGGTCGGTCCGTTCGCTCCCGTGGCGGCGGCCGGCCCCGCTCAGCCCCTCGCCTTCTCTCTCGTGTCTCGCCCGGTCTCCTTTGCAGTCGCTGCCCGCGGCCGGCACTCCCGGCCACACCGTCCGCCGCGCCAGTAACAAACCTTCATCGTCGGAAACACGCTCAGATGCCGTGAGAACAGCGCACAGCAGGCACGCGGCTTATCAAAAACCTACAGAGGACCACAGGCCCAAGTGCGCTCAATAAAAACCCATACCTGTGTGGGGTGTTTCCACAGCATAATTTCCACCTGTTCCCGAGATTTGCACTGCCCTGTCGCCATGCGCCGCCTCCCCGATCCGGTTCACGCCGCCCCTGGAGCGCGCAGCGGCGCGTTGAGCCCTATCCGCAGCACGGCGACCCGCTCTCAGGTCGGAGCTGGGCAGCCGCTGGCCCGGGCCGGTCCCTGCCGAGGGCAGGGCGCCGGCCGCGGCGCGCCGCCCCCGCTCCGGACCGGCGAGCACCCGTCAGTACCGCACCAGCATAAACCGGGAGAAACAGACCTTCCTTTGGTGCTCAGTGGGCCACGCTCGCGGCCGGCGGGTCCGGCCCGTCCGGACGGTCCGGACGGCCGGCGGCGCCCGGTCAGGGGTCACACGCCGCCACCCGGGCCGACCCGGCCGACCCACCCCGAGGCACTGGGACCGGGGCCGACCGGCCGCGGGCAGCCCGCCCCTGCCCCTCCGTCAGTCGGCGCGGGCCACGGGCCGCCCGGCACCGCCCCGGTCGACACTTGCATCACAGATTTGGGCCCGAGGCGGCCGGCGCCGGCGCCGCGGCCCCGCCAGCCGGCCGGCCGCGGGCGCCGCGCCGGGCCGTCGCTCGGGTCAGATATCGGTCAGAGGTCCGTCTGCAAAGAGAGAAAGGACGAGGGGCGATGGTTAGCATCTGACATAATATCTAACGAACGGTGAGCTTATGCGTAATGCAGGGCTGAAGAACGGTAACACAATTGGTACGCCTACCATTATAAAAACCGCAGAAAAAACACGACAGCGTAAGATAATACGTAGGACATAAAGGTACAAGCACGCCTATCAGTTCACGGGCAGACGAAGGCGACCGCCCTTGGTATGCCAACGAACGACAGCTGATATTGACAGGTGGCGCCAGCGAGCCGGAGACGTCACCGAGAGCGGCCACACGGATCGCATATTAACACAGCCGCCGACACGGGAAATCCGGCAACAGCTGGTACAGTCAGCTACTGACTGGGTCAGCAGTTGTGGCATCGCTACGTCACCTCACGGCTGCCTCATGATCGCAGCTAAACTGCTGGCCGGCCCCCTGTCCCTGGCCCGCCCTCACACCCTCCCGGTACTCACTGGTGTGGCGGCGGCGGCGGCGGCCGGGCGTCACAGGGTGTCCTGCAGTGACTCCCCAGTCCCTGACCTGACCTGCCCTCCCGGTTCCCGCGGGTACTCACTGGTGTGGCGGCGGCGGCGGTCGGGCGTCACAGGGCCGGGTTGAAGCCCGGCGGCGGAGTGGAGGTCCAGAGGGCCGGCGCGGCACGCTGCGGCGGCCCCGCCGGCGGGTACATGGGACCCGTCTCGGTGAGCTGCTCCAGCGAGCGGAGCCAGTGCGGCGGCGAGTCGGAGCGCGCCGGCGCCGCCAGCTGGCCAGACGACACGATCGCCGGGTCCATGGCCGTCCAGTCGGAGCCGGAGCCGCCGCTCCAGCCTGACGGCGGAGTGACGACACCGTCAGAGGGACGCGGGCAGTGGGGGGATAGTCAACGACACCACACTGCGTGACTGGCCGCAGTCAGTCCAGCTAATTCACATCACTAAGCTACACTCTGAACACGGCTCCGAACCCTTCACGCTCCCCCAGAAACATGTCATCTGTCGTCAAATGGGCACACTGGCCGGGATGGCGCCACGGTAGCTATCGTCGGAACACTAAAGCAGCAACCCATACCGACATCCCGGGTGCGGCATGTAGCGCCGGCATCACCACACGCCTCTCCGACAGGGCCTGTCTGCTCCGCGGCCGATCGTCACGTACCTTGCGAGGTGGTCGGTTTGGGCGGCTGGGCCATGAAGCGGGCCAGCGGCGGCGCCGGGCCGTGGTGGGCCGGGTGGCGAGCCCCGGAGCCCGGCTGGCCAGGCGGAAACCGGCCCACGCCGGCCGCCGCCGGCGGCGCGCCGCTGCTGAACGATATGTTGATGTTGGGAAAGTGCTTCTTGAGGCCCTGCCAGTCCTTGAGGCTGTCGTGGCGGGGCGGCTGCGGCTGCTGCTGCGGCTGGCTCTGGCCGCCCACCAGCATCATGCTGGAGAGATCCGAGAAGAGGCTGTCGTGCGGCGAGAGGGCGCGCGGTCGTCCCGGCGGCGGCGGTCGGCTCAGACCGTTCAGACCGTTCAGACCACCGCCGTTTAGGAACGGCAGCATCTTGCTGCCACACAGATCTGGAACGGCGCGGCGGCACCGGTCAGTGGTAGTGGTCAGCAGTCGCCACACAGGAAACACACAAACAGAACAGACACCGTGCGAGACTCGTCGAGCGGGATCCCACGGATCGACATCACACAGTAGAAAGATCGACATTGATATTCATTTCATCGCAAAGATGAAATGAAAAGAAATATAGAGCTGTCGGAAGCCGGACGAAGACCTACATCTCGCAGAACTGGAATTTATCAGCTGCAATTCGTTTCACTCAGATCCTCAAAATATAGGAATATAAAAATAAGAAAGTAATGGATTCAATAAAGGATACTCTGCAGATCGATAGGATTGCCACTAGATCAGACAGCTGCACAGAGCAGACGGCGCAGAGCTGAGAGCCGACGGCGGCTGCGCCTCGCGTCAGTGTCGCCGTGTTTGTAAACACTCGGCGAGGAGGCAGCGGCTTCCGAGTATTGTAAACACCCGGGCCCGGCTCGACTATATGCCGCTGACGCAAGGAACACAAACGGCATCGGGAGCCACCACACACAATACAAACAACGTCTCACAGACTGACATCCTCAACCAAGCACGGGAACGGCTTCCCTGGTGAGGACACTAATTAAACCATGCTGCGACCCTGAGGTCATTATATACATTACATACATTACACTCAGGGACCAGTTTAGGTCACAAGTAAATGCACTCACAAGTAAATGACTTCAACGTTACTAACACATAAATAAACTGCAAATAAAAAAGAAATGTCGAGCAGCCTGGGTTTTCCTTCCCACGCTGCCCCATTTAATTGGTTAGGGAAGTCTATCAAGTGCCACAGCCACTGAAACGGGTGACCGCTTCTTAGACAAGACTGCGTGGTCACATTTACCAGTATTTTATCGGGGCCAGATTTGAGCCCGCCGTGCAGACAGCGCGGCGACTGAGGCAGTCGCAGAGCGCGCCATGAGTTCTCACCTGGCGCCGGCTGCTGTGCCGGGTGGCCCAGCGGACCCAGACCCAGGCCGCTGGGGCCGCTGAAGCCCGGAGGCGGCAGACGCGCGCGCGCCGCCGCCGCCGCATTAAAGCTAGAGAGTCCCGGCGCGGGCGGCGGCGCGCCGGTGCCGAGCCGCAGCGCGTGCTGCCGCTGCGCCGCCTGGCGCGCCTGCTGCTCGCGCTCGCGCTCCAGCAGCGCGCTCAGACCCTTCTCCGTCTCCTCGAACGGGTCGAAGTCGAGGTCGTCGGCGCCGCCGTCCAGCGGCTGGTCGTCTTGTTCGGGCGGCGGCGTGGGCTGGCTGAGCAGCGCGGCCGCCAGCGAGTCGCCGCGGCCCGGCACCAGCCACTCGGCAGAGCCGGCGCTCGAGGCGGGCGTCGACGCCGGCGTCGGGTGCGACAGGCCCGGCGGCGGCGTCAGCGTGGCGATCGCTGGCGTCGGCGCCGGCGAGGGCACCGCCGTCACCGACTGCGCCGGCGCTGGGGCGGGGGACGGAGCGGGAGCGGGAGCGGGGGCGGGGGACGGGGCGGGCGAGGGCGCCACAGCCGCCGCCGGAGGAGGCGATGGCGAGGCTGACCGCTGTTCACTGGGCTCCGGCTCGGGCTGCCGCTCCGGGTCCGGCTGCGGCTCCGGAGCGGCGGCCGCCGGCGGGGTCGGCGCCGGAGGGGGAGGCGTGGCCGCCGGCTGGGCGGCCGGCTCGGGCGGAGGGGTGGCCGCCGACGCCGCCGGCTGGGAGAGCGGCGTGGACCTGCTGCTGTCCGTCTGCCGCTCCCGCGAGCCCGTGCTGTTCTCGTCGTCCGACTGAGCGTTCACTAGAGTCCCGGCGGCGCCGCTGCCGGTCGCGCCCGACACCGCACCCGCTGTCCGCGCCGGCGCCGCCGACGTCGCCGCCGCCGCGGTCTCGGCGTTCCGTTTCCGACTCTTCCTGCCGCGCGACTTTTTGGTCTGCTGCAGCAGCGGCCAGTTGCCGTTGGCACCGGCCGAGCCGCCGCCGCCGCCGCCGCCGGCCGAGCTGCCGTCCGGGGGGCTGTTTTCGGCGCTGCCGAGCCGCTGTGAGCCGGACGGTATCGGTACCGAGCCCGACTCCGACTGGGACGGATTGCCTCGCCTGAAACGCAGAGAGCCGAGACGGCAGTGAGCGGCGCACATAGAGAGACCACAACGCTCTACCGTGACTTCGGTGTCCGAAATAGAAACAAATATGGACGTCATGTCACAGTCCGAATATACTAGTATTTTGGTTGACAACAGCGTGTTAAATGTATGTCGAAACGTATGTCACGCCTCGCGGCCGATATACCTAATACGATAAGCTGCCCCATCCCATCGTGGAACATATTGGTATCTGGTTCACCATCACCGCCCACCGTGTGACCTTGCATTGGATACGGAGGGCGGAACGGTCGATATTTACCAGGCGCGGGTGGTACACTCGGGGGCAGATTGATGTTCCACCACTCCCTACCCATCGGGCTCCCATGGCTCAGCACTGGCCGCTGCCAGTGTTGCCTGCTCTCAGCACTGGTCAGCACTGCCTGCCAGTGCCAGTGCTGCCAGTGTTGCCTGCCCCCAGTACTGCTCAGCACTGCCTGCCAGTGCCAGTGCTGCCAGTGTTGCCTGCTCTCAGCACTGGTCAGCACTGCCTGCCAGTGCCAGTGCTGCCAGTGCTGCCACTGGCCATGGCCTGGGAGCCATGGGAGCCCGATGGGTAGGGAGTGGTGGAACATCAATCTGCCCCCAAGTGTACACTGTACATACATGCGGTGATTAGCCAAACCTATAGTAAAGTTATCTTGGGCCAAACCTACTGCTCACGATCCTAATGTACCGACCGTTCACAAAGGCATACTTGTCGAAAACGGCGGCTTGTCATCAGTTAGTCCATCTAATCTAATGATGATTCACAAATAGTCGGAGTGAAAATCAGCAAGGAAGTGGCAAAGAACAGGTTGCGTACACCTGTGCAATGTCACGCAATCAGCTGTTATATCTTATCTTACAACTACCGGCCCGGTGCCGGCATTACTGCAGCCCCTTAGTTCACGTGCAGGGATCAACTGCAGTAACAAAGGGAACCCCTCTACCCCAGCAGCTCGCGAATCAGCCGCCGGCCGTGACCGCACTCCCAGCGCCCACTCAGACCGAGAGGACGGTGACGGGTCGGTGCGGCTGAACGGGTGTATATACGGCTCAGAAAAGGTCAGCGGACATGCATGGTACCGCGGGCCAACCGTGTGCGTCAAGTGTTCTCAGAGTACGGTTACGACCGACGCAATTAGGGTAATGCTCTGAGCGGGCGAGACTTGCGCGAACTGGTCCATCAGGCAACACTGGGCACCGACGAAACAGTTGAGCTTAAACGTAGGACCATTTACTTCGTCTTTCAATTGGAACCCTGGTCGATTAGCTGGGTCAACAAACAAATATCGACTTGGAACGACGCATGAAGAAGACGGTACGCACCTGTCTTTTACCCGGTTGATTTGGTTTTGCGACTGCTGGAAAAGCTGGTCATGCAGCTTTTTCTCGTATTCTTGGTGTTTGCCTTGCTGCATCGCCTCTTTGGTGAAGCTCGCAGCCTCATCCCCTGGAAGTGCACAGAGTTTAGCGTGAGCGCACGATAAGCCGCTCCATTTCACAACTGCACCATAAACTATAGGCATATCGGCATCATTTCGAACCACTCCAATAATGGAAAACAGTACGGGTCAGGTACGTGCCCTAAAAACAGCTCAGATCAACAGCAGTAATGTATGGCAGCTCGAACAGCTACACAGAATGCAATCATCGAGTGAAATAGGGCAGCGTGTTCAAACAAAGCTAGAGCGATGGTATGCCGCCCGTGTGGCTATTTAAATACGAGCCCCGAAATGTGTGGCACAAACTCTCACTTCAATAATCCCGCTCGTGCGTCACCGTGTGCCACCGACCCGTCTCCGTGCGGACGGTCGAACCCGCACCGCCCCAGCAGCTGCTCTCACTACCGTCACCGTCCGCAGAAAACTTCCACTATCCACCAGACCACGAACCCAGACTATGTCCACAGAGCAGCGTCCACAGAGCGGCGCTCACAGACTTCCCTCCACAGACCACCGGTTGCAACACATCATCCGAACTCACCTGGCTCATGCAGGTACATGCAGTCGGTCTTTGGACACGGCTGGTTCTTCATGAAGTGTGAGCAGTACTTGGTGGTGCCCAGCGAGGCCTTGAGCGTGCGGTTCTCTATGGTGACGTTGTTGACGGCCGCTATAGCCCGCAGCGCGTCGTCCGATCGGTAGTAGGTCACGTACGCACTGGCGCTGGGGCCCTGCGGTACGTGCCGATACTGCCAGAGACGTCAGGCCAGGTCAGGTCATGGTCAGGTCAGGTCATGGTCAGGTCAGGTCATTGTCAGGTCAGAGAGGCATGGTCATGGTCAGGTCCATGACTGTTCTTGTGCACATCTCAAACAAAACGAACGTCATTTAAGATTCATAAAAACGCAAAATATCGAGAATTACAAGCACTAAATGAATTTGATGTTCAGCATGACCAATGCTTTATATTGTAAGTAGGAAGTTTGGCAGCTCATTGTTATCAAAGTTGGTCATAAAACCCAGCAAATTGCGACAGCTCTAGACGGTAACTCCAAGTGACTGGGAACCAGTTGACGGCACGTACCTGCGAGCCGACGTACTGCGTGCTGTGGTTTATCACAACTTTATGGATTTTGCCGAACTTGCCGAAATATTCGTGCCGTTTTAACACCTGGAACCCCGAGGCAGACACCAGTTAGTTCAGTACAGAGTTTAACAGAAACACAAAAGCTACTAGCTGCATGATGAAACACAAGATAACGATGACGTCACGAATGCCTTTGTTGGGAAGTGTCTGTCTGTAAGCAGCGGACTAAGCAGTGATTGAGGAGATGCGTCACATGCGAACGGCCGACTAATATCAGACGGCTATCCAGCGCTTACCGCACCTCGGTCAAGGTGACGGGCGAGGGGGTGGACCAAGGGGCCGACCGGCCTCTGGGTCAGAGAGGCACATGGGGAGGGGGACCCGGCCCACAGGTAGGGGGAGGGGAGGGGGAGCGGGAAATGACTGACCTCCGGGTCCGAGAGGCGCGGCGACAGGCCCACCACGAACACCAGGTTCTTCTGCACCACCCGCACGTTGGCCAGGTGCTTCCTGTTCTCGCTCATCTTGAGCTTCTTCTGCAGGTCCTTCTGTTTTTTCTCGGCCTTGATTTTCTGCAGCTCCTCGTTGGTCAGCGGCTTGAAGTCGGCCGGGTTCTCCGAGTAGGGTTTGCGGCAGGCGGGACACAGGCCGTTCTCGTCTGTGCGGATCCGGTGCCAGCAGAACCGGCAGATCTGCGGGCACGCGCCGACACGGCGTCAGTCGCGGGCGCTCACCAGTGACATGGTCAGAGTGTGGAGGTTGACGGTCCGACAGACGGCCCGGGACGGCAGCGCCGCAGCCGCACGGGTGAGGGACACACCCGAGGCCGCCGCAGCACGGGTGAGGGACACGCCCGAGGCCGCCACCGCCGCCCGGGTGACGGACACACCCGAGGCCGCCGCTGCCGCCCGGAAGTGGGTAAGGCCTCTGCAGTCTGCACAGCACTGAACCGAATCACGTGGACTGAGGTTGACTGAACTTGCCTTCTGCGGTTTGGTTGAAGGCAAATTGGCAGAGCTAAAATAAACAAAATGCCATCGAGGGGAGGCAAAAAAGCTTTAAATGGCATGTTTTGAATCAATCATAAGGAATTTCTCCTGGAGAGCAAATACATTTACTGTTAAAACAATTAACACTATCATATTTTCAGCCTAAATAGCTGATGGAACTAGTGATATGTGCACATCGCTGAAATAGTTTAAACAGGAGTAAAATGTATAAACGTGTTGAAATTTCTCAGGAAGGTGAGAGGTGACCATTTGGCTGTTCACTGCCTTAGACTGAGTATCAGCTGACATCTGCCAGTCTGGGACAGATGAACTGCCAGCTCAAATTGGTAGAGAGAGAGAGAGAGAGAGAGAATGGGAGAAGGGGAGGAAAGCTGGAGGGAGAGAGAAATAGAAAGGTAGGATGAGTGGGTGAAAGTGTTCATGTAAAATATGTCTACAGCACCCTCTTACAATTACTGTTATCCTGGGTAGTGGGTGCAATAAACCTATCACTTTGCTTTTTGGTTACAGGTTGAACATTCAACCCTGACCTGATACACTTCTCACCTGATATCCACAAGTGCATGGGAAAAAGCTGAGATCATCCATCTCAAACTGTTCCATACACAGAGGGCACTCTGCCTGGTCATCCATGTCATAGGCCATCTTGGAGACTTATCTTCAGCACAAAGTTCCTGCTGGCACAGAGATGGGTGATCAATCATTGGTTGCAATAACAAAAAGGACAGTATTAACCACAGCTCACATCTGATAAACAGTAAAAGCAAATTACATATTTGTGCTAAAGTGAATGCTTACAAGACATGGCATGGTTCAAATATAAAAAGGTCTGGCATGGAACTCCAAAACATTCTAACCACATTAGGTACTTTCTAGTTTCTAGCAAGTATAGACTTTTTATATATGATGCAAAGTCAAACAGGCAAACTTAGACAGTAAACTTAAACAGGTAAAGAACAGGTAAACCCTTGATTTCATTTCTAATTTAAAATGGTTTTATTGCTTCATCTAATATATAAAATGCATCCATTAACCCTATTCCTGGCGGGCTCCGCCGGGACAAGAAACTGGCGGGGGGCCGATTCGGCCCCCCCTGAGATCTCGAGAACGAAGCAAGATAGCGACAAGCGGTAAAGGGCATCGGATACGCACGGCCAAGATCTACAATTTTTACTAAGGTCATTTTCAGGTCAGGTCAGAGATGACGTCACAGGGGTCGAAAAAGTCAAAATGGCGGCGCTAGATATGGAGAGAGTTTTTCTCGAATAACTTTCGAATTAGTCAAGATAGGAACAAACTAAGGGCATCATCGTGATCCTCTCGTCAATCCGCATCGAATGATATATATGTTGACCTCGAAAGGTCAAGGTCAAAGGTTGACCTCAGGTCACGTGACCTTGAGGTCATCATGTATATCATTCGATGCGTCTTGACGAGCTGAACACAATGAGACCATCCACGCGTCTGTATCTTGTTCCTGTACGGAGTTATTGGCCAAAAACCTTTGGTGACCTTTGATGACGTCACATGACCTCACAGCTGCCCAACAGCAAAACAGACCTCAAGGTAGTGAAGGTTGATCGTATATGAAGTCATGTATGGTATATGGGGCCATTCCGACCCGTTTTAGTGGTAAAAACAGGGAGTTGATTTTTCCCCCATTGACTTATAATGGGGTGGTCGCGAAATTGACCTGACCTTAGGTCACCGATATCAAAATTCCAAGATATACAAATTGCACATACTGGTACCCTAACTAAACCCTGAAGAGAAGAAATTGATCGGTCAAAAACTCTAGCTCTGGCGTGATTGCAAACTTTTCTGAGGTAGGGTCACCAAACCGCCTCTGGTGACCTGACCTGAGGTCAGATCAACTCAAAATTTTCAGACATGTTGCGTAGAAGCCTTTTAGGAAAAGTCAGAAAATTTGAGCTTCCTAGCTCAACGCGTTTGGGAGAAATAACCAAAAAACCTCAGGGGGGGGGGGCTCCTGAGGCCCCCCCCCCCACCAGGAATAGGGTTAAAAGACATAGCAGGGCTCAAAAATGTGGCTTCAACAGGTTAGGCCAAGGGTCTGGACCAATGAGGTCGATATTTACCAACATTCAGTGAATACAATAAATTTGACTAAATAGTAAATTAAGAATCACTAGGCTTTTGACAAACAATAGATTTATGTTTGTTTGGATGTTACATCTCTGTTTGCTTCACCATTCTGATGGAAAGGTGACTTACAGCAGAAATTTACACCACAAATGTTTTACTTTATATACATACCTAACATAAATTTATTTTTTTAACTTTAATTTTGTTTAATAAAATAAAAGCATTTCATATCAAATGTCCATCTATGCATGTAGGTAAGTGGGTAATGGGTAAGTTCTTTCTATACTAGGTATCCCATTGTTAAAAAACTCAGGAGTGAGAGGGTTTGCAGATGCATAGACAACAGCCTGTCCCATAGCTCAGTTGGTAGAGCATCGGACTCCCGGTAGTGAGAGCCCGGGTTCGAGACGCTCCGGCGCTCGATATTTGAGACTCCTGACGGGGATGGTGTGCGGTTGGTGGGAGCAACCGCAGCCAGTTGAAGTCAGTTGAGTGGGACAGGCCATGTCCGGCTTTGAAGGGCACGTTAAACTTTGGCATCTAAATTCTCCTGTTACCTGGAATTGCGCGATCGGACGGTAGGCGTCGGGGTCTACGCAACAAGCTCTGCTTAGCGTGGGTTCCGGCTCTGTCAATCCGTCCATTCAAACATTCGAGCTAAATTTATAAAAAAAAACATTGGCGTTATCATACTCCAATACATGGAATATGATTGAGTCCATAAGAAATGGCATAGCTAGTAAGCCAAAAAATGAACTACAAGGTAGGGTAGGTACCTAACACCTTTATGCATATAGTGACATATGTAAGATTAACTACAAGATACAGCACAAGCTTATGACAAGGATATCAGGGCCCTTTTTCGCAGCCACTGCCAAGAGCCAGCACACTGCCAGCGAGTTGATATAATAATGGGCAATTTTGGTGCATGTTTGCCGCAATATTCAATGACGTAATCAGTAAAGAAGTAAAATTTTATGCCATTAGAAACATTTAGACATCTACTTTAACTACATACTTGATGATGTCATTCAATATTGAGGCAATCATGTGCCAGAACTGCCTAACATGACATCAGCACGCTGACGACATGCTGGCAGCAGTCGTAAAACAGGGCCCAGATGAATCATAACTTGCACAAAGGAGAATGCCTACCTAACCTACAACTAAATTGCCCTGAAATACATTTCAAGGATTGACCTTATGAAAATAAATGAAATTATAAATTCATGTCCAGGTCGAATCACAAAAATACACAAACAGGTGATTAACCTAAAGCGATTAGAAATATGCGAACAATGACGCAGAAGACAGGGGACCAAATGTTGACGAAAAACTAATACTATTTCAACAAATTACAGGTGGAAACGAAAGCAGATGATTAACGATGCTGCAAGGATTGTGAAAACGCTAGTTACATGCTAAAATGTTGGTCAAACTCGTCAAAATTCAATATTAAAATTCACTCACTTTCACCGAACCAACGTTGTTGACGTTACCTTGGAGCTGGCTCGGGGATGGACAGAAACGACTGTTTTCGTCAACTGCGCAGATGCTTTGCGCAGGTGTCCCGGATGCAAGGAACTTTTAGGAAGAATTTACATCGCTTTGCTACAAAATAGCCCTTTTTAGTAAGCATTGAGATGTGAAAGATTTGCATTATGTCTTTTTTTAGTTTTTTGGAAGCTAATGCATGCACCTGAAAAGAAAATAAATATCAAGAAAAAAGAAAGTTTCACTAAAGCAGAACTAATTTGTAAACCTCTTGGTAAAGGTCAGCTGATTCTAGAAGCATTTGTTTACAATAGAGGCATTTAAAAAATTGGAAATATTTTACAGCTTTGCTGTACAGTCAAACTGTAAATTTCATGATTGAATATTTGACTATCTAAATATTTCAACATTTCGATTGAAGCAGAAAGTCTTTTGAGCAAGTTGAACGTACTTTTTGCGTGACCTTGAATATTCGATTCCAACTCATTTGCCTTACTTCCTTCTCTAAGATTCAGCTTGTGTCGCCACCGTGAGAGCTGCGGTGATGTGTGTTGTGTTCCTATTATGTGGGCGTTTTCGTAGCTATCCTCATAATGAGGTTCATTTGTTTTAATTCAAAATGTGTTTGAAATGCTTTTAGATCAGCCATTTGTTGTTGACGACTCGTGTGAAGTGCGGAGAATGGAAGTGATTTTAGAGCAGTTTGTCGTACATGCGTCTTCAGTGTCAACATAGGCTCAAACAAATTCGTGAAGCATGGAAACAACTGCGAATAAGAGTGTAATGGAAAATTATGGCAGTGTTGAAAATGATTTCAATGGCTGCCATAAAAATTCGTGGGGAGAGGACCAGCCTCAGATGGACATGCAAGGATCACATGGCATTGAACAGACAAGCAAAACCAGCAGACTACACAGTGTGGTCGAGGCTGCGTGCAGGTATGGACAAAAATTTGGTGCTTACACATGCATATGGTCGCATAAAAATGAGGGTCTAAAAAATATTGCTGTTTTCCCCCTTTTTCTGCGGAACTCAACAAGGAATTGTGGAGTGAAATTGCCATGCTAAGTCACCTTTTCTTCAGTAGTCTTCTTTTTGATCAGAATTCCTTCAGGTGTGTCCTTATCCAGTTTCAATACCCTTTTGTTGGTCAGACTGCCCTCATTAACATAACTTCAAAAATACAGAAGCATTTTATAGCATTGATACATATTGGCCAGAATGAATCACTACACCATCGTTCACAGTCATGTCAATTTCAATGTAGCAAGATACCTATTCACCAGCATTTTGTTTTGTATATCTATTTTGATATCCATTCAATGTCCATATTTATGTCCATATAAATGCCCATGCAAATAGGTTTTGCTTTTGTTTGTATGGAGCCTTCACAGTAAAGTTGCTGGATTACTTAAAATGAATATTGCATGTTGTCAATGCTGTTATTTAAATCTTGCCTTGTTCTGTAATTTTCCTGATATCTGGGAGATGTGTCCTGTCCCTTCTGTCATATGTTGTAGTTGGCTTTGTCCCTTCTCTGCCCTTCCTGTGTGAGGGCTAATGTAACCTCTCAGACTTTTATCTCCAGACTTGGGCTGCAGTTTTTGAGTCCACTTATGGTTAAGGTTAAATGAAATTGAGTTTGGATGTATTTGCTTCAGTTACTCAGGTGGCCTGGCCTTCAGGCTGCAGCTTCAGCCATTGACTATGATACCATTTCAGACCAGCTGTGATGATCAGGGCAGAGCTTGTCCAGCAGCAATGTGGAGCCATAGCACATTTGTCATTCAGCCCTATACTCTCCTATCTCTGATATCACAGCCACACCAGGCAGTGGGGATTGAAACAGGCTTAGGTGTGGCCTCTGACCTCACTGGGAAAAAAAGGAGAGGGTATGCTTGTGAACTGTTATACTGTGTTGTATTCTCTTCTTCTGCCGGGCATGCAACATGAATGAGTATACCTATTTATTCACTCCACTCCAGGCCAAATCAAGGATCTAGGTTTAAGACCTGAATGAGTAGTCAGTATGTACCATTGGCCATTGCCCGGGTGACTGTTTGGCTGGTCAGATAGTCCAGTATTCATGTCCCCCCGTGTTGACCCGATGTATGCCGCCGCGGCGCTGGTCGGTACCCGCACCTCATCGGTTAGTGTCAGCCTCTGGCCGATATCACTGCCGAACGCTGTCCGTGGTGTGCCTGTGCGGCCCGCTCGGCCACCTCGCTATGCTAATCGGCTGATGGTGCCGGCTGTGCGCCTGCCCGGCTGCATAATGGCGCCGGCCGTGCCCAGCTCCCCGGCCGGCCGGCAGACGCAGCGGCTGGACCGGCCGTGGTTGCCCCGCCGGCGGGAGGGTGGCGCCGGGACCAGTGCGTGTGCGTGGGTGGTGACCCGGCACCCCGCGCTCTGTTCCAGTTCTGAGTCGTGCGCAGTCGTGGACCGCATCATTCAGCAAGTCGACCAGCTCTCGGACCTCGAAAAGCTGCTGCTCTACCTCAAACTTCCTGCCGGCAAAAACAACGACGTCGACCCACTCAAAATGTGAGTATGCTCAGCTGCGCCCGGTCGCAGGCTGCGGCATGTAGCGCTCTCGTCAGGAAACATGACCTCTCTGGTATTATTGCGTGCTTTCCCGGAGTTGATACTGATAATGCGTCATATGCGCCGAAAGCGGAATGTCAGGTGTCGACGGGGACCGTAGAGGTGTTTGCATTCATGTATATATTCTCTATTTTGTTTTTTATAGATTTGCACGACTAATGCTGCGTGAAAGATTAAGTTCATTTTGAGCGTTTGAAATGACCGTAATATTTGATTGGCCTTCTACCTTTCGTTATTCTTACTACGGTAATATATGGCTGAGTGAGTAAAACTGCACCGCCACGTTTACAGCATGCCAGTCTGATGCTCCCTGTCGCGTGGTGCGTCGGTGCCGTGTGCCCCGTCCGCCGCCCGCCGCCCACTGACGCCCCCCCCCCCCCCCCTCCGCGGCCCGGCAGTCCGCTGAACCCGCTGGGTAGCCGGTTCGAGATCCAGCAGACCATCATGTGGATCCGTACCCACCTGGAGGAGGATCAGGACGTGTCGATGCCCAAACACGAGGTGTACGACGAATACCAGTGAGTGCGCTATCCAGCACGTCCCACCGGTAGATACTGGATACAGTCCGACGATCGGAGACTGGGCAGGGGTGGCGTGCAGCGGACTGGGTTGCGTTTGGCTGGTTGGGGTGGTATCTTTTCATGCCAGTTTTTCATTGTGAGGTCCGTCGTAAATGAGATGCAAATTTAAAACCCGTTGTCTTACTGTAATGCTGCAGCCTGCATGTGTATGGTAAGGACTCCTTCGCTCACACTACTGACTCATCTGCCTTCTATCTAATCCCCCCCCCCCCACACACACACACACACACAATGGTGGCCCGGTAACTGAGTGAGTGGGGGTGGGATGGGGAGGTGATCATGGCGCACATGTCGTCTGGCACGCCGCCTCTGGCCGGGCCGCCAACGGCGCCGCCCGCGGCCGGCCGCCGGGCGGCCAGCAGGCCAGGGAATCCCGGTGTATGTCCGATTTGGCGGCGGTTGGGGCCGTGAATTAGCCCTCTTTGATGAGCCGTCAGCTGGGTACTGGGATACTCGGCTGGTCCACGGGTCCAACATTTCCCTCTCCGTCGAGCTGTGGCCATGGAGTGACCCCAGTCATGACGCAAATCTTGACGCAAGCCACAGATGTAAGATTCATGAGGATTGTCAATGGTTTTCTATTTATATGGTTTATATATACATATGGTTTTCTATTTCTGATAGAAATGAGCAACAGATTATTCTTCATCCTTCTATTAATAGGATTGCCAATCTTGGATTTTGTGGACACGTACGAATCCCAGCCTGTTGGGCATGCTATTTTTTCAATGTTGTTTACCACGCTACTTTTGAACAACGTGCTGTTCAAAATTAAAGAAAATTAGTTGCCTTTACTTTGTTTTCCTGGCTTGTTGACCCCGGGGCTACTTTTTGAAGTTTTGTAGTGTATTCGGTGTTCAGGCACACGGTGTTTTCATACAGCACGGTTTGCCGCCTGGCTCGATATTATTCAAACCGGTTGTATTACGAGTTCGTGCCGGTGTCGTTTGCGGGATGCGCCGTATTGATTGCCGCGGGATGGAGGCGGTGGCCTGGTGTCGTTACCGTGCGGCCTTTTGTCGGCCGCCGGTGCCGGGGGCGGTGACTCGCTGCCTGCCTGTCATGCAGGCCAAATAAAGCACACATCTGCGGCGCGCCGGTCCCCAGATCAGAGGCGCGCGCTCCGACTGTCAGGACGTGCTGTCTGCCCGAGCCGGTATTGTTCTATTCTGCTCGCCCGTCGGAGGCTTAGCCTCGCACGTCCTGCTGGTGACTCAGCAAAAATGAAACTTCGAAATAGGGTCTGATGGTGGCGACTTATAAGCCATCTGCTGACGGAATGGTTGACGGAGATTTTCTCTGTGGCTTCTGCTAAATAAATGGAAAAGGAACTGAATCACGATAATGCAACATGTGCGTCAGAAACCTCCTCTAGGTCGCAAAAAAGACTATATCTGGAAGGAGCTCCAGGATACTGACCTAAAAACCTCGCAAAATCTTTACTCTTTTGTGAGCCTATGTAATGGAACCAATGTTACTGCCTATCTAAATAAGCTGAGCTGCTGTGGAGATTTGTTTTGCATTCATTTGATTATTTCGGCTCGTTAGCACTTAGCGTGTGCTGTTTTATTTGTTGGGCTGTGGCATTACGATTTTGGGTATTTCATTTTATGACATGTGTTTCATTCGCCGTACTTCATAATACCAGCTCGGTCACCAGCGCATCGGACCGCTGCGCTCGTTACGCTAGCGACGACGGCTGAGTTGCTAATGCCCGCCCGGTCCTTTACAGGATGTACTGCAGCAACAACAGCATGAAGGGTCTCAGCACGGCCGACTTCGGCAAGGTGATGAAGCAGGTGTTCCCGCGCGTACGGCCGCGCCGTCTGGGCACGCGCGGCCACTCGCGCTACTGCTACGCCGGCCTGCGGCGCAAGACCAAGCTGGAGCCGCCGCAGCTGCCCGACCTGGACGGCGACTCTCCGGCCAAGGTGGGTCCCGGTGGCAGTGGTCGGCCGCTGCCCGGCTCTCGAAGGTACCCCGCTCCCCGGCCTCGACTCCCCTCAGCCGTGTCCTGATAGTGATTAGGCGCCGGGTGGAGCCTCACGCTGGGAAAAAGAAAACGAGTGGACGCGCGGTACCCAGAAGAAATGTCATGCCTCTTATTTGTGTGGTTGTTGAAAGATATTTTTGTGGGAAGTGGATTCCGCTTGAGTCATCCATGGGGTTCATGCCATTATGAGTCTGGCACGCACATCTGAAAGCCGTTTAACATCGATTGGTCTGTGGCAGTCTGTGACCGTTTACTGTACCACTGTAGGGTTAATCGGCTTACGCGGTGACCTTTTGTCGACCTTTTGTCTTTGTCGGGGCTGTCAGAGCGGCGGTAGACAAGCCGCCGCGCACATTAGTGCACTGTCTCGGGGACGGATCTGCCGCACACGGCTGTGTGTAATCGCTGCCGTTCGCCCGGCTGCCTGGCCGAGGGTTCATGTCCGCATTGTGAAAACAGCGGCGACACCTGATAGTACCGTGCCCGAGCCAGGGCCATATGCGCATTCATCAGGGACGGACAGGGGAATGTCTGCTCTCTCCAGCTGGACGCCAGTGATACCCGGCCGGCTCGGCATAAACCGCACCCCGGCTGCGTAACAAATACGCTCTGACGCGTGTGGCAGTGGCGTATGGCCAGGGACCGTGTTTGAGCAGCGTTTAGGGAGCCTTTACAAGGCTGTTGCCCCACCTGCATACACATGGTTTGTTGCTGACCGAGTCACGACCAGCGACTTGCATGCATACGTAATTCACGGCCATTGGCGACAGCGAGCGGCGCCGGGCGGTGCTAGTTTTTACCTACTTGACAAAGCGCTAACCGTGCTACCCAAGCTGTTTGGACAGATTGGCCTCAATTGGCGGCTTTTTACGTTCGCTCAGCGGGTTCGCCGACAGGATCGGTTGTGTTGTGGAGCCGGTGAAGCGGAGGCGTTGGGTCCCGTGGCGGCAGTGTGGACAGTCTGATACCCTCCTCAGTCGTATGGGGTCTGTGTGCCGTCGTCTCTCTGCTCTGGTCGCTCCGGCTCCGCTCGGGTACGATCAATGGCGCGCACGGAGCGAACACGGCGCGCCGAGAGCTCCGACCGGCGGGATGTGAGGGTGGGGAGGGGGAGGGGTCGCCGTGATGAGCGGCAGACAAGTGGGATCAAAGCTGCGCGCCGCCGGAGCGGTGCTGTGCCACTGCCGGGCGCTCGGCGCTGCACTTGACGCCCGCCGCGCCGGTAGTAACGCGGCTGAGGGTGGCAGCGATGCCCGCGGCCGACGGACTGGGCGGAGCGGTGTCGTGACGGTTTTTGGCTCCAGCTGTGCCGCCGTTCCCTTTCCCTGTACCCTATGTCCGGCAGCGTGTTACGAACTGGTCACTGGTAGGCGTACCCTGTCACCTGGCGCTCGGTCGCTGGACTTGACGGACATCAGAACGTTGGTGGATGGCTTTTCGCAAAGCACAATGATAATCCATGCAACCACTCGATATGGAAGTACTATGTCAAAAGAAAATGTCACCAAAGAAATGTGCAGTTTTCGCAATTGCCTCCCCGGCCGAGGTTATATTTTTCATTCTTTTTTTTCTGTAAAGTGACTATGTCCGCCGTCTTTTAATTGCATTGCAGTGGCATTCCGCTATCGCCAGGTTACAGCGATTAGCCTAACCACTCGGCTGGGCCGGGCTGGTGACACAGAACCGTAAACACATACGTCATTGGGTGATTTCTGCCCGGATACCGGACACGTGCCGCGCCGCATTGGGTGACTTCCAGGAACGGCGCTGGTCGCTGAACAGCTGACCGGTGGCCCACATCGTGTCGCTGAGCCACTGCGCCCTCTCGGGGCTGAACACGGCACCTGGATCACACGCCACCGCCCCGGTAAATACACACATACACCGGCCGCCTGTGAAGTATGAGTGGTCAGTACAGTCGGTCCGTACTGTACTGTACCGCGCAAAGTAATGGTGGATCCATCAAGCCTGACCGAGGAAGGGCCTGCTAAATTTGAGTCACCGAAGCAATTGACATCCCCGTCCATTCCCCAGGTCAATTGGTTCGGTGACTTCCAAATTATAGCAGGCCCTTCCTCGGTCAGGCTTGATGGATCCTCCGTTACTTTGTGCGGTACTTTTAAGACAGACTGTACACTGCACACTCGCAGAGCTGATCAGTGGGCGGCGGCGGCGGCCTCGCCGGCCGGGCAGGTGACAGGCCGCGTCCTCAGGCAGACCGGCCGGCGGCGCACGCATCCGAGCGCCGCCCGGTGTCCCTGTGGGGGCCCCGGTCAGCAGGTGTTCCTGTGGGAGCCCCGGTCAGCAGGTGTCCCTGTGGGCGCCCCGGTCAGCAGGCGTTCCTGTGGGGCGCCTCGGTCAGCAGGTGTTCCTGTGGGCGCCCCGGTCAGCAGGTGTCCCTGTGGGTGCCCCGGTCAGCAGGTGTCCCTGCGGGAGCCCCGGTCAGCAGGTGTTCCTGTGGGTGCCCCGGTCAGCAGGTGTTCCTGTGGGCGCCCCGGTCAGCAGGCGTTCCTGTGGGTGCCCCGGTCAGCAGGTGTCCCTGTGGGAGCCCCGGTCAGCAGGTGTCCCTGTGGGTGCCCCGGTCAGCAGGTGTTCCTGTGGGTGCCCCGGTCAGCAGGTGTCCCTGTGGGAGCCCCGGTCAGCAGGTGTCCCTGTGGGCGCCTCGGTCAGCAGGCGTTCCTGTGGGCACCCCGGTCAGCAGGTGTTCCTGTGGGCACCTCGGTCACCAGGTGTCCCTGTGGGAGCCCCGGTCAGCAGGCGTTCCTGTGGGAGCCCCGGTCAGCAGGCGTTCCTGTGGGCGCCTCGGTCACCAGGTGTCCCTGTGGGAGCCCCGGTCAGCAGGCGTTCCTGTGGGTGCCCCGGTCAGCAGGTGTCCCTGTGGGCGCCCCGGTCAGCCGCTGGGTCCGATGTTCCTTCGGGCGCCCGGTGTTCCTGTGGGCGCCCCCATCAGCCGCTGGGTCCGATGTTCCTTCGGGCGCCCCGGTCAGCCGGTGGACCTGGAACCGGCTGGCCCGAGGTGAATGTAAATGTTTACGGGCTTCTTCAGTCGTTGGTTGCGGCCGCAGAGGCCCTCCTGGCCGTTCCGCGTGTTTGTCGCGACCACGTGGTGGTGTGATCGTCTCCGGGGCCGACCGGAGGGGGGGGGGGGCGAGCTGCCTTGCCCCTGACGGTGACATATGGCTGAGTGCGTGCAGCAGCTCCAGGTTGGTGCTTCCTTCGTGAAGATGTGCTTATTTCTTCAGCACCGACGTCGCTGGCGTATTTTACAGTACCTTGCGGCTACTGTAAACTGTAAAGTGCCCCCCCCCCCCTTTACCGTCTCACTTTCCCCACAGTTCCATCTCACCGCCGGGCCGCCGTGTCCACTGTTCCCCCGGCCCATGCTGTCTCTCCGCACCGAGTCTATCGGCCCGCCTCTCGCCGCTGTGTCCACTGTTCCCCCGGCCCATGCTGTCTCTCCGCACCGAGTCTATCGGCCCGCCTCTCGCCGCTGTGTCCACTGTTCCCCCGGCCCATGCTGTCTGTTCGTACGGAGTCTGTCGGCCCGCCTCTCGCCGCTGTGTCCACTGTTCCCCCGGCCCATGCTGTCCCTCCGCACGGAGTCTGTCGGCCCGCCGTCTCCCGGCCGGCCCGCTGTGTCCACTGTTCCCCCGGTCCATGCTGTCTCTCCGTACGGAGTCTGTCGGCCCGCCTCTCGCCGCTGTGTCCACTGTTCCCCCGGCCCATGCTGTCCCTCCGTACGGAGTCTGTCGGCCCGCCTCTCGCCGCTGTGTCCACTGGTCCCCCGGCCCATGCTGTCCCTCCGCACGGAGTCTGTCGGCCCGCCGTCCCCCGGCCGGCCCGCTGTGTCCACTGTTCCTCCGGCCCATGCTATCGCTCCGTACGGAGTCTGTCGGCCCGCCTCTCGCCGCTGTGTCCACTGTTCCCCCGGCCCATGCTGTCCCTCCGCACGGAGTCTGTCGGCCCGCCGTCTCCCGGCCAGCCCGCCTCTCGCCGCTATCCTCAGCCTTGGCTGGCCGGCGCCGGCGTATACCCTCACGGCCAATGGGCGCTGCCACTAATGGCCTCAGCGCAGAAATGCACCGATAAATCATCCGGGCAGATAATGGCTCTCTCCGTTACGCCGGTCGGTGGCCGCGGAACGGTGCAGAACGGTCAGCCGCGGCGGTCCTTTACACTGAGGGAGACGCGCGGACACGGGGGACGGTCACCTGCTGCCTTCTGAGAGCGATCGCCGCTCACCGCCGGCACTGCCGCACGTGCAGCGGGGACACTCGGCTCCCGTCATTTGCATTGTATCTGCGCGGTCGGCCGCGCCGCATTAAATGCTGCTGTCGGCGGTAATTTATATGGCCGTCGGCGCTGGCCGGCTCTGTATCCAGCTCCGGTGACGTCCGTCAGGCGGCGGCCGGGGCTTCTGAGGTCAGTGGCTGTGCGCAGCGCGGCCGGCACCCAATCACTTACCGTGGGGTCGGCGATCGGGCCGGCCGGCGCACTCACCGTCAGAGTGTGTGGCCGGCCGGGCGGTCCCAAGGACACCCAATTATCGCACTCGGCCGAGTGTGGATCCAGCTCGGATCGTCGCCTGAGTTACAGACGCTCATGTAGTGTAGTCACTAATTCAAGCGTATTTCTAGTGGGTTCTGTCGGTACGGGTTGTGCGTTTCAGTCCTTAGACTGCATGTAAGGCGCCTTCTGTTACTCATGAACAGTCTTTCGGTACACTGATCCTCAGATTCGTGCCGCGGCAGCGCCAGCTCGCTTTGACTCACTGTCGGCAGTGGTTTCCTCGGCGCTGTGCCGCCGTCCGAGCCGCGCTGACAGGGGCGCGTCAGACGACTCAGCGGCAGGCACAGACCGGCCGGCTATTCACCACTGAGGGCCGAGCTTTGAATATCGACCGGGTTACACAGCAGCGGATCTACTTCACATGGCAGT